GTGTCCATCCTGGCACTACCCACCCACCGGCCGGGTAGCCAGGTGACACAGCAGCTAATGGCACCGGGACAGAGCGCTCAGATAGGGGCATCCTCTGCCATCGAAGGTGGAGAGTGTGTGTGTTTGGGGTGTCTGGGATGAGCCCTGCTATGTGTGCCCATCCGACACCCTCCGGCTCCATTTGACACCAATGACCAGCTCCCACTGATGCCCCACGAGTCACTTGCCCCACGGCTTGTGCCCACCTTGGGTTTGCAGCTGCTCCCCCAGCCCTGGTGCTGTTTGTTCTGTGGCTCTTGGTCCCGCCCTGCGGCAGGAGGAGGCGCTCTATCCCCGTCCATTGGGGGTCATGGCGCCCAGGGAATGCCCGCAACTGACATGACCTCTGCTCCGCTGCAGGGACACGGCAGGCCAGGAGCGGTACCAGACGATAACGAAGCAGTACTACAGACGAGCCCAGGTAATGGCGCCGCCCTGACTGTGACGGCGATACCGGGGGTGGGCAGCACACGTCTCTCTAGGCCCCGTAACGGGGGCTGGATCGGACTCCGTCCCCTGTGGGCCTGGCGCTGAGTGGGATCTGTAAGACCTGCTGCTCAGTGGGTCACGCGACCTGGCAGATTCCTGGTGTCCCTCTGGCGCCATTCCAGGCCAGTGTTTGGGCCCCCGCCTTTCACTGACCAAGGCAAGATCTGCTCTGCCAGAGACCGAGGGAGAGGCTGGGTAGTCGGGAGGGCAAATGGCACTGTGCCACCGAGAGCGGGCGTGTGGGAATCACTGCCTTCAGGGTTTCTGCGCCCAGGGCTAGGCTGATGGGGCCGGGGCAGGATCCTCCCCACCCCTCCGAGCCAGCCCTGCCCCCAAGAGCTCAATAGACAAAGGGTGGGAGGAGACACTGAGGCACAGGGACGGGGAAGGGATTCACCCAGCAGGTGCTGGCAGAGCTGGAGATGGAACCCAGGTGTCCGGAGTCTCAGGCCCTGCCCCCTAGGCCACGCTGGGTTCCCTTAAGGCTAACTGTGGCCTGTCCTAGGAGGCCACCTGGGCTTGTCACTGGGATGGTGGAGTGACTGTAGGTTAGATAGGTGTGCTCAGCTGACCCTGCTCCCGGTGCCTCCCAGAGGGCTTGACACCGGGGGTCCCTGCCCACGCCCCGGTGCCTCCCGGAGACCGGGGGTCCCTGCCCACGCCCCGGTGCCTCCCGGAGACCGGGGGTCCCTGCCCACGCCCCGGTGCCTCCCGGAGACCGGGCTCCCTGCCCACGCCCCGGTGCCTCCCGGAGACCGGGGCTCCCTGCCCACGCCCCGGTGTCTCCCGGAGACCAGGGGTCCCTGCCCACGGCCCGGTGCCTCCCGGAGACCAGGGGTCCCTGCCCACGCCCTGGTGCCTCCCGGAGACCAGGGGTCCCTGCCCACGCCCTGGTGCCTCTCAGAGGGCAGGTGCATAGGAGCACATGGTATGAGGGAGGGTGGCCTCTTCTCTGCCCCAGTGCACTGTGGGTAAGACTGTCCTCTGCTCCCTCACCCCATCCCCTGTGCGCTGGGTCTCGTTGCAGGGGATATTCTTGGTCTACGACATCAGCAGCGAGCGCTCCTACCAACACATCGTGAAATGGGCCAGCGACGTGGACGAGGTGGGAGTCGGCTCGGAGCCACTTGTCTTCCCTGGTGGCCTCTGGCTCCTGAGTGCATGTGGGGAGGGGGGTCCCTGCTGCATGAGGCCGTGACCTGGTCTGGACAGACCCAGGCTGAGCGGGCGGCCTGCGTTGGGGCTGAGCCCTGAGCAGCGAGACGTGGCAAGGCCCCCAGCGGGGCAGTGACGGGGCTCGGAATAAGCTTGGAGCGAACAGACTGTTGAGCCTCTGGGAAATGAACAGCTGGAGTCCGGCTGCCAAGCAGGGGACCCTGAACAGGTCTGCGGGCGGGGGGTGGGAGGAGACAGCAGGGGCATGGGGCTCTGCCAGTGCGTGGGGTGGATCTGCAGTGGCAGTGAGTGGGCAGCAGGGGGCATGGGGCTCTGCCAGTGCGTGGGGTGGATCTGCAGTGGCAGTGAGTGGGCAGCAGGGGGCATGGGGCTCTGCCAGTGCGTGGGGTGGGTTGGCGATGGCCTGCAGTGTGGGGGATGAGCAGCAGGGGGCTCTGCCAGCGTGTGCAGTGGATTTGCAGTGGCGGGGAGTGGGCAGCACACAGCGCAGATTGCCGATAGCACGTGGCCCATGCCGTGGGTTGCAGCCGACGTGCAAGGCCGGCTTGTGAGAGCAGCAGGGCACGCGTGGCTGGAGAGTTGGGAGCGGACGTGGGTGCAGGGCACAAATCAGCCCTATGGGAACTGTGGGGCCTGTGGCAATGAGTCGTGTAGAGCGGCTGGTTTGTATTGGCTGCC